ATTTGCATTTTCCTTGGTTGTTTTTTTCCCTTCTGTCCCCCATCTCCTCCCCCTCTCTCCCTCCAGTCCCCCCACTTTCCTGTGTGCCCCTCCGTCTGCCCCTCCTCCTCCTGTCAAGTGCAGGAAGCTGCCCGAACCCTGCAGACAAAAATATCTCCTAACACCATTGGCTCCACACCCTGCTCCTCTCCCTGTACCCCCACATACTGCCATGCAGCCCCCCAGCTGCTAACAGGACCCATAGGGCCAGCCACTGCCCAGACTCAGCTGGGATCAGGCTCCACAGACACAAATGAGATTAGGGCCTGTGGGGCTGGTTGTTGCCCAGACACAGCCGAGATCAGGGTGCGTGGGGCCAGGCACTGCCCAGACATAGCCGAGATCAGGGTGCGTGGGGCCAGGCACTGCCCAGACATAGCCGAGATCAGGGTGCGTGGGGCCAGGCACTGCCCAGACATAGCCGAGATCAGGGTGCGTGGGGCCAGGCACTGCCCAGACATAGCCGAGATCAGGGTGCGTGGGGCCAGGCACTGCCCAGACATAGCCGAGATCAGGGTGCGTGGGGCCAGGCACTGCCCAGACATAGCCGAGATCAGGGTGCGTGGGGCCAGGCACTGCCCAGACATAGCCGAGATCAGGGTGCGTGGGGCCAGGCACTGCCCAGACATAGCCGAGATCAGGGTGCGTGGGGCCAGGCACTGCCCAGACATAGCCGAGATCAGGGTGCGTGGGGCCAGGCACTGCCCAGACATAGCCGAGATCAGGGTGCGTGGGGCCAGGCACTGCCCAGACATAGCCGAGATCAGGGTGCGTGGGGCCAGGCACTGCCCAGACATAGCCGAGATCAGGGTGCGTGGGGCCAGGCACTGCCCAGACATAGCCGAGATCAGGGTGCGTGGGGCCAGGCACTGCCCAGACATAGCCGAGATCAGGGTGCGTGGGGCCAGGCACTGCCCAGACATAGCCGAGATCAGGGTGCGTGGGGCCAGGCACTGCCCAGACATAGCCGAGATCAGGGTGCGTGGGGCCAGGCACTGCCCAGACATAGCCGAGATCAGGGTGCGTGGGGCCAGGCACTGCCCAGACATAGCCGAGATCAGGGTGCGTGGGGCCAGGCACTGCCCAGACATAGCCGAGATCAGGGTGCGTGGGGCCAGGCACTGCCCAGACATAGCCGAGATCAGGGTGCGTGGGGCCAGGCACTGCCCAGACATAGCCGAGATCAGGGTGCGTGGGGCCAGGCACTGCCCAGACATAGCCGAGATCAGGGTGCGTGGGGCCAGGCACTGCCCAGACATAGCCGAGATCAGGGTGCGTGGGGCCAGGCACTGCCCAGACATAGCCGAGATCAGGGTGCGTGGGGCCAGGCACTGCCCAGACATAGCCGAGATCAGGGTGCGTGGGGCCAGGCACTGCCCAGACATAGCCGAGATCAGGGTGCGTGGGGCCAGGCACTGCCCAGACATAGCCGAGATCAGGGTGCGTGGGGCCAGGCACTGCCCAGACATAGCCGAGATCAGGGTGCGTGGGGCCAGGCACTGCCCAGACATAGCCGAGATCAGGGTGCGTGGGGCCAGGCACTGCCCAGACATAGCCGAGATCAGGGTGCGTGGGGCCAGGCACTGCCCAGACATAGCCGAGATCAGGGTGCGTGGGGCCAGGCACTGCCCAGACATAGCCGAGATCAGGGTGCGTGGGGCCAGGCACTGCCCAGACATAGCCGAGATCAGGGTGCGTGGGGCCAGGCACTGCCCAGACATAGCCGAGATCAGGGTGCGTGGGGCCAGGCACTGCCCAGACATAGCCGAGATCAGGGTGCGTGGGGCCAGGCACTGCCCAGACATAGCCGAGATCAGGGTGCGTGGGGCCAGGCACTGCCCAGACATAGCCGAGATCAGGGTGCGTGGGGCCAGGCACTGCCCAGACATAGCCGAGATCAGGGTGCGTGGGGCCAGGCACTGCCCAGACCCAGCTGCACTTCCGTAACCAAGAGACGAGAGCTTCTCTAAATGGCCAATGGCAGAGTTACTCTCCCTCATTACCAATGCAGAAAGTGAGGCCTAGTAACTTGCTCAGAGTAACTCAGGGGGGTTATGAGAAAACTGCCATCAGAACCCAGGAATCCGGGGCCCCAGGACAGTGCCACAAAATCATTTTGCCTCTGAAATGGACTTTATTTCTAATCTGAGTCGTCTTTCTCTGTTCCAGACACACAGCTCGGTCCTTCCCTCCTGCCCATGTATCCCTGTGCCTACGACCCACTCCCTCCATCCGTCTGTCTGTCTGTCCATCCAGCCCATTCCTACTGATCTGCTGATCGATCAATTTCAATCACTGCAGAACAGGACTCGTCGTCTGCCCCCCGGCACCCATTTCATCTCTGGCCTGCCGTGCTGGGAGCACTGGCTACGTGGGAGCTCCTGCACTTCCCCTGCCCTCCCCCTCCCTGGCGTGGTGCCACTGCCTGCCCGAACTAATGGCAGGTTCCGGGTTGTCGAGCAGCGATTGATGCCTATGAGTCACCCTGAGTGGCTGCTGCAGTGGAGAGGCCCGGAGCGTCTGCATGAATCAGTAGGGCCAGATCGCAACTGATGTACATCAGCTTCCGCTGTGGCAGTTATAGGGACAGATCCCAGCTGGGGCCTATGGGCCATCGCTCCGTGGGATCACTGGGGCCAGGTTCCAGCCAGGGCCGATGGGCTGTCGCTCTGTGGGGCCAGGTCCCAGATAGGGCTGATGGTCTGTTGCTCTGTGGGCCGATGGGCTGTCGCTCTGAGGGGCCAGGTCCCAGATAGGGCTGATGGGATGTCACT